TTACACACTATACGTATAATTTAGTGTAGCTTTCTCCACTGAATCATTTTGAGATTCACTTGTATTGTGGCAGGTATCAACCATTCATTTCTCTTTGTCACAAACCATAGTGGCCCATTGGGTCTGATCCTTCTACGCTTTGTTCATCCATTTGCCTTGTTGAGAGATACTTGGGATGTTTCCAGTTTGGGATTATTACAATAAAATTGGCATGCCACCATTCACCCACAATCCTTTGTGTGGCTATATGAGTTCATCTGGAGCTGTGAAATAATTGTACAGGTGTGCGCTTGACTTAATGTTTCTAAAGCCGTTGTACTATTTCATAGTCTTACCAGTCGTGCATGTAAATTCGGAGTCCACTGATTCCCTACCTACTCAGTTACTATGTTGTTTGTTTTTAACCTTTTTTAAAAATAGTCATTTCATTGTGATCTTGAGTTTGCACATGACCCCAAGCAAACAACTTTAAACATCTTTATAAATCTTATTTTCCATTCGTTTGTCTTTTTCGGTAAGATGTCTATTTGAGTTCTTTTTAAAGAGCTGGGTTGTATTTCATTGTGTGTTTTATTGTGACAAAATCTTTGTAACAAAGTAGTCACCATTTTAGCATCTTAAGTGTACCATTCAGTAGCATCAAATGTGTTAGCTGTGTTGCACAACCAACACCATTCTTATTTCCAGACTTTATCATCATCCTATGAAGACACTCTAAGCCTATTAAGTAAAACCTCCCTTTCTCCAGCCTCTGGCAATCTCTGTCTATACACTGAACCATACGATAACTTCATATTTATTTTTTTTAATATAATTGTTTATTGATTCTTAGGGAATTTCACAACATGCAATCCAATCCTGCTCATTTCCCAGTCCCTGCACACCTACCCCTCACCTCTGTAGCATCCCCTCAAAGAAAATTAAAATAGAAACTGTTAATGAAAAAAACCAAACAAAACAAAGAAACCATTTTGCTCCTCCATCTTCCCCACCTCCCAACACCTCTTCATTTATCTCAGTGGCACTGAAAGCTGCGGTCTTGCGATGCGCGTGCATTTGCTTGTTCATTGTATTGAGTTGTGGGTCAGGGTCAAGGCCTCTGGTTTCTGGTCCACCGCCAACAATGGATCCTCAAAAAACTCTTCGTGGATATCCCATCATTGCCCCAAGTCATGGAGATTCTGCCATGGCCAGGGTTCTGCAGGGCCGGATCCTTCACACACCCTGGCAGGTCATGGATGGGGTAGATGCTGAGGTGGGACAACTCAAAGTCCTGGATGTGGGTCTGGGTGGTAACTGATTTGGTCAGTCTGGTCTGCTGGGGCCACTCCTCTCAAGGCAGGGGCAGAGACAGTTCTTCAACGCCCACACCATCAGGCTGGCTCTCCCATGACTTGTGGTGAGGGGTTGAGGCATCTCTCCTGAGTGTGTGGCTATCTCTTCCATGAGGAGCTGGACCAGCTCTTCTGCTGTGGTGGCCAGCAAGGGGCAGGATCAGCTCTCCCAGGGCCAGCATAGGGCAGTGTGAACTCAGCATAGGGCTGGAATTTCAACAGGCATGGATCCTATGGTCCCCTGTAGTATCTTAGGCAACAGAGATCAGCACAGACCCCAGCTACAGCAGGATCATAGACTCAGACGTTGCCCTTGGCAGCAGGGTAGGCCCAGATGTCACCATGGCTCCAGGTGGCAATGCAGGTCACTAGAATCTGCTTGGCCCCAGCAACAGCGTGGCTCTTGGACACCAGCACGGACTCAGGTGGGTGTTCAGGTCCCAGACGTCCGCTCCATCTTCAGTAGTAATGAAGTCGTGGACATCAACACAGACCTCGGCTGCTGTGGATCCACAGACCTAGACCTGGCTCATGGCAGAAGCTCAGGCGAGGACATGACCATGGCCCCAGGTGGCAGCGCAGGGCAGGCCAATCAGTTTGGCATAGCCCTGGTGACAGCATGGCCCTTGGACACTAGCATGGCCTCAGGTGGTGGCCCAGACCCAGACCCCAGGCATCTATGTGGCCTTTGGTGGGAACATTGGCCACGGATGTCAACACAGAGCCTGACTGGGGTAGGACCACAGATACGGCCCTCAGTAGCATCCCAGGCCTGGATGTCACCATGGCCCTGGGGAGCAAGGAGGTCACGCTCACCAGCCTGTTCCTCACTGCCTTCGCTTCTTCAGATCTGCCTCTTTGCACAGCACACAAACCATTCTGTTTCTCTCTCTCTCTCCCATTTCTCCACCATACATTATCGTAATAGCGTCTACTCGCCTGGTGCCTTGTGGCTCTGGGCAGGCCCGTGGATGTTTTTCATCAGTCTAAGCCCGTGAGAACTCAGGTGGGCCTGTGGCTGTCTTTCAGCTGTCTGGGCTATATATTTAATTTCTGAGACACTGTCTCTTCCAAAGAAACTGCAGTGTATACTCTCCCACCCTGAATGGATCCATTCCAGTCTTTCAGTATTCCCGATACTATACCGTGCTACTGTCCCTTGTAGTGGCTGGTTTTAGGACGTGCAGCAGATACCATGACATCCACAGCCGCTCTGTGCTTGAGCTCAGTGGAGCTCTGACAGTAGCAGCAAAGCATACTTGACAAATAAAGTCTAGAGACAGCAATCTGATGATGCTTCCCTGCTCAGTCTTGTCTTTCAAAGCATCCTTGACTGGGAAGACCACTCCGAGAGACATCTGTGAGAAAGGAGACACACACTCAACTGTTGTTCATCCAGCGACTGTTAATTAGTACTCTCTATGCATCAGCAAAGCCTGGGGTGCCGGGCACACACACACACACACACACACACACACACACACACTAGCAAGACAGGGTTATTTAAATAACGGAGGCCTTCCATGTGCCTTCTCTTTCTCACTAGTAAGAACTTTTTAACATCTGGCCCTTAATCATTGTTGCTGTTTTTAATCCACCCCACATGAACTTGCCAAATTGAAACTGATCTGGACAAGAAAGAATGACAAACAATGAACCAAGAGAGGCATGGGTTTGGGGCTTGCTTAGCACATTTGACAGCTGGAGTGTTGTGGGCTATTCACCACAGAAGACTGCCTAGACATGGGTTTAAACCAATAGGAAGCCTTTATTAGCCAGACGGCAACTATACTGGGTGTTCAGGATCCCGGTACAGCCCAGAGCTTTTCTCAGGATGAGTTCTTAAGCACAAAATGCATGTCCTGGATCGACAGACTTCAGTTAACAAGAACAGTCAGAAGCAGAATTACAGAAGCCAAAAAGCAAGGGTAGTACGTTTAGAGACTATCCCAGAACTATGGAGTTGGATGGACGAGGCCTTTGTTTTAGTTTTGGCAGGTGGTGCTGTCTATGGGCTGAGTTTTACAACATGAATGGTACCTCCATCATGGTTCCAGTTGTGCTAAGGTCTGGGGGCTTACAGGAGGAATCTTTGAAACATCTGATTTGATCAATCATTTTTTTCTTTTATTCATGTATTCAGTAAATGTAACCGAATGCCTATGATACAGGAGGCATCTCCAAGGCCCTTGTTTCTATTTTCAAGAATTGTCCAAGTTATTAGAAGTTTACACCCCAAAGGGAGGCAACCTAGCTTAGCTCCTTGATTCTTAGAGGAGAAACATAAGATCTCTGAGGAGAAAGGCATGTCCCTGGACTGTCACTACAGCTAGCTGCTGTGTGTTCAAATACAAATAGGATAAGCTTCTCTTTTTCTTCCTATTTTCCCTGTAATGATTGAAGCTGTGGCTCTGGTACCCAAGTTCCCAAAACTCAGAGTGAGGCAAAGCCCTACTCATAGCCACCAACAGAACCAGGCCCATGCTGGAATCCTCTACAGGGGCCAAGCAGGGAGTGGCAGCCGCTGGGACAGCAATAAGATCTGCATCACTTTCCAGGGCAAGCCTTTGTGGGGGCTACAGGCGACCTAGCAGGGTACCACACTCAGGGAAGACCGCAGTGTTCAGCTCACCTCTGGATGCTTTCTGGTAATATAGATGAACCCTGTGCTGAAGCCTAGACGCTGACACCCCAAACAGAGGGGTCCATAGGGGTCTGTCACATTTTTGATCTGAGAAAACAAAACAAACAAAAAAAGGGGTAAGCTAGGGAGGGGTGACTGTGACTGCAGTGGCAGCCTTTGGGCTCAGTCTGTGTGTTATCTGTAAGACAGTCTTAAGGAAGTCAGTGGATTTACCCGTAGGATCAGCTAAGGGAATTATCCGGAAAATGCGCACTCATTCTGTTCCTGAAAGATGGGGCTCAAGATGAGGTTTAGCCACTTAGTTCTCCAGTGTCCCGATATGCAAATTTCGGCTAATATACCTTCCTACCACCCTCGGAGGGCTCTTGCTGTTAGCAGAGAGTCACACCTGATCTGAAGTCAGCGTCACAAATCCAAGCCATGGCTCTTTCCAAGCCAGAAACTTGCTGGCGAATTTAAACAAGCTCCTGAATTTCTCCTTTCCTCAGTTTTCCAGTCTTCTAGGGAGTGTAACCATGCTCTCACTTTTCTGGCTTCTGTGAACATAAAGACCCAAGTAAGGGTGCAGGGTGTGTGGAAATCCAGCCATCAGGTACGAATTCAGGTGTGCCAGAAACTCTTCTGGGCCTTTCCAGTCCAAACAAATCAGAAATTGGAGTCACTTAAATACGTAAAGAATTTGATTTCCCTCTGTCCCTCTCTCCCTCCTTCCTTCGAAACTGGATAGCCGCCTCAGAGGTGATCTCCCAATAGAAGACAAACTGAAGACTAGGCTGGTGTCCTTCCAGTTGCTCCAAGATTCTGCAGCCGGGAGTCGGCTCGCGCCTGCCACCTGGTGTCACGTTCCGCCTACTGCCTAGAAACCACGTGTAAGAAAGTGCTTACAACCTAACTACGCACGTTGGTTTCGACCGGTTCTAACCAATAAGGACAGGGAAGGCGGGGCAGAGGAAAGCAAAAGCCCAATCACCTCCTACTTTCCAAGGAGAAGGTGGGGCTTGGTATTTACCATGTTGGGTTTGTCCGCAGCGCTAATTACTTTTTCCAAAGGCTGCAGGGCTTCACTCCGGCTGGCGTCGCCGCCTCGCGCGCCCCAGCTCTGCCACTACGGTCCTGGGGGCTGCTGGTCCCGAGTACCATGTGTGACGGCGCCCTGCTGCCCCCTCTCGTCCTGTCCTTGCTGCTGCTGCTGGTGTGGGGGCTGGACCCGGGCACAGGTAGCGTCGCTTGCTCTCGCGGCCGGCCACCTTCCCCGTGCACTCCCGAAGCATCCTGGCGCCCGGGTGCATGGGTGGACTGCTGACAGCATCACCGGAGGAGGAGGGCGAAGGCCGCGGCGGGGGAACTGGGCTCCTGTATCCCCCTCAGCAAGCTGTTGGCTCGCCGTCCCCTGGGGTGATCGGGTGGCTTCGCCGGCTCACAGAGGCCCGGCTCGGGGAGGGAAAGGAGTGCGGGGTCACAGCTGCACGATGTCTATGGAGCCCTGAGAGCCAGCGCCAGAGCCGCCACCGGCAGGAGGTCTGGTGGCCAGGCGGATGCTGACGCATGTCCTCTCTCCCCGCAGCTGTCGGCGACGCGGCGGCCGACGTGGAGGTGGTGCTCCCGAGGCGACTGCGCCCCGACGACGTGCACCTGCAGCTGCTACCGGGAGTAGCGGGGCTCCGGCAGTGGCGGCGACAGCGAGCATCTCTAGGTGGCCTTCGCGCCGGGCCAGGAGAGCGCGCCCTGCTGCTGCACCTGCCGGCCTTTGGGCGCGACCTGTACCTGCAGCTGCGCCGCGACCTGCGCTTCCTGTCCCCGGGCTTCGAGGTGGAGGAGGCGGGTACCGCGGAGAGCAGCGGACACCCTGCCGAGCTGTGCTACTTCTCCGGACGAGTTCTGGGCCACCCGGGCTCCCTCGTCTCCCTCAGCGCCTGCGGCGCCTCCGGCGGCCTGGTACTGCCCGCGCCCCCTATGGGTCTGCTCTGCCCAGTCTGTTGCGTCGCCTGGGGTGGTCCCGCGGAGGGCTGGGCGGGAGAAGACCTTTCTCCCAGTTTCCCTTACTTGGCCTTCCAAGACTGTGCCGTCTGAGCAGAGGGGACACAGGGGAGGCCTGTCCAGGCTTCTGTTATGTGATGAACCTGGCCGAGGTGGGGTTGCATTGAGAAATCAGCTGTTGCTTTCCTAAGGGAACGCGTATGAAACTGTCGGGTCCCACTTGCCCAGCATCTGCACATGTGTGGGTGTTATGCACATGTTATGGGTGTTATGGGAAAACACTTCAGTGTCGATTTCATCTGTCTGGGGATGGAGCAGTAATGCACCTCTCTATCCTTTGAGTCTTTTTACGCTAGGAGGGCACCCCAGGCAGGCCATGGTTAACTTTACTCCTGTTAGCTGGAAGGTAAAACCTTATTTCCTTACCCCATAGCAGGCGTTTGTCTGGATCTACCCTCAGTGAGAACTGTGGGGTGCTCACCTGGCCCAGGCTTAAGCCCCGTTCCCGAGCTTCCTCTTTTCCAAGACCTTTCCTTGCTGGGCTTGAGACACCTGTGGCAAGTACACTAAGAAGCAAAGGGAGTTTGGGGTGCTTTTCCCTGTTTGTGCGCACATTCGAACACTTGGCTACATTGGTGTCAAGCCAAATTTGTCTCTGCTTCTCCGTGGTGCCCCCAAGGAAAGCACGTGGCTGGCAGATGGGCTGTCCCGGAAGAGCCTGGCTCACTCAGAGATGTACTTGTTGTTTCTCTGTAGTTTGTCGCAGTGCCTCTGAGACAGAGGTTTCTAATATTGGTTTGTTTGTTTGTTTGTTTGTTGTTTTTGGCAGGCCACCTTGAACCAAAGAGGTTGTCCCTTCGCTTACCTTGTCTCACCCCTACAATACCCCAGCCTTCACCTACACAACCAGCAGCAACGCTGGAAAAATCTGTGACTCCAAAATTAATCTCTCAGAGGGTTCTGCTTACTTAGCACCGGGCTGGGGCTGGGGGGAGGGGGCTGTGGATGTAATTTCCTGGGAGCAGCCTAATTTTCAGGAATTTTCTGAGTTCCCATTTTACAGTATGGCTTACTTTTTGCTTAACTGGCGAAATTGGCAGCCTTGATAAAAAGAAGGCAAAGGCACAGATTGTGGTGGGGCCTGGTAGGTGTTAACGTGGAACAGGGGGCAAAGAGTATGGGCTGGGGGCAAGGAGGCTTAAGTATGAGTGGGAAAAGCTCAGATCGCTGGAGGACTCAGGTCAGAGCTGTATCATGTTCTGGGAGGAACTCAAAGGCCCACATCATTTTTCCTGTTTTTGCCAAAGTGTTTCAAGGCTAGGTCACATCCCTGTACTGTACATGGAAACATCTGAATCCCATTTGCTGCGGTTTCCTGAGTTTCTGGAGAGGTCAGAGTTTATACTTCTTGGTGTAAAGTTTCCAGCGAGGAGCTATCTGTGAAGGAGCCCAGGCTGGAAATCTGGAGAACATTGATTGAGAGTCCTCACAGAGTGATTGCAGAGCCTCCTCACAGATGGCATCTGAGCCAGCTTTTCAGGAAGACTGCGCTGCCCTTCGGCACCATGTGAGGGCGCTGTGCCTTAGAGAAAGGAACCCAGCCAAGACGGAGTTCACCCCTAGCCAGATGCGGGTGGACTTCTAAGTCCTTAGATTTTTCAATTCCAGTTTGAGGAGATGCTGCTGTTGTTTAGTCTGCCTTATCCATCCTATTCGTGCAAGCTGCACATTGGACACTCTCCCCGAGTTCCACGTAGGCAGAGGCTGAAAGCCGGATGAAAGAGGCACGGCGGGGAGCTGGTCTCCTGGTGTCAAGGTGGCCCTGGAACACAAAAGGAAGAAAGTCTTTGACCTTAAGCTACCTGAGATTGCCCTGCACCCCATCTTTGGCTTGGTGGTCCACCTAGGTGGATGATAAAAGTTGTGTCGGTTCTTTGAGCATGGTAGAAGCTTTCTTCAGTGTGCAGTCACATGTGTGTTTGCCAGGATAGTCTTAGCTTCAGTGTATGGGCAGGGAGCGTCGTCCAGCGATGCAGCTCTTGGTAGTTGTGGGCAAATGGGCTATTTCAAAAGCCTTCTTGTATTGAAGGAATCCTGTTGAGCAGGGGTTGCCGACTTTTCCCAGCAAGGAGCAGAAAGTGAATACATTTCCAGCTCGTCTCAGTCTTGCCTTCTCAGCCCCGCACCTTTCGAGGGACAACAGCTACGGGAGGTATCTAAGCACGTGAGTGTGTGGCTGAGGATGCTGGGTAGCATTTTGGTCATTAATTCATTTTGCCACAGCTAATGTCTACAAACGGCTGTGTTTGCACAGCGGCAGGGGTAGTGTGAGCCCTGTCTGTCTCCATGGCATTTATGTGGTTTGTGCTCAGAGATGTTGGGGGTCTGTTTAAAAGGTGCTATGTCGCCGGGATGGAGCACCGCAACACTGCCTGTGGGGCACAGTGTCTAAGTTGCCCCCGCCCCCGCCCCTCTCCGCCACACCCCTTGGCAGCAGACAGAGGCGTGGGCCTGTGGTGTTTCCCCTTCTTTGTCTTATCAGGAAGAGCTATGGCAGCTGCACTTTTTGGATCTTCAAAGACCCCAGGCCCAAGGATTAATTGTTTTCTTTTTCTGCTGCCTCATTTTTATTTACATTTCAGGGAGTCTTTAGATGTAGCGTAGTTTTGGAAGGATTCCTGTAACCACGGAGTTGGAAAGCAATGAGCTTTTGGCTGGTGGAGAAGGTATCTCTCCCCGTTTACCCAAGCCTCCCATGATTAGCACCAGGTGATGTGGGGGGCAAGCAGAATTCTAAAGTGAACTTCATGAGTAGGCAGGACAGTGGAGGTAGGGGGAAGGGGGCACGTCAGGAAGAGAAAGAATGCCCATCTCAGCAAAAGCTCTTTGTGGCTTGTCTAAAATGAGTGGGCGAAAGGACTGTTTTAGAAAGGTAGAGGTCTCAGGGGAGGTCTGAAGGCTGCCACTGAGTCTATGGACTCAGCCGTGGCTGCATTTCCTCCCAAAGCGCCACAATCAGAATCTGACCACGCAATCTTGGCTGAGGTCTGCAAGGGTATAGTGCAAGGGAGCTACGGGACCAGAAAGGACACTCAAGCATTCGGACTGTGGAACACTAAGTGGCCAGGTCCATTTCCCAAGCCACCCTAGGAGGACCAAGAAGAGTAGAATACCCCCGGCAAACCGCTTTTTACGCTGTACAGCTTGATGTCTCTATCATGCAGGTGAGACATTGAGTTATCTCGGTGACCACCTTTGCTCTGACTGGCAAACACGGCGCCATTTTTGTGACCCATCCTTGGTGTGTGTGTCTCTGTGTGTGTGTCTTTTACAAACAATCCTCTCTTGGGGGCTTCTCCTGCAGCCTGTAGAGAGTGCGCACTTTAGTCTCCAGGAGAAGTGTGTGCAGATGGGAGCTGATGGGGACTGAGGCTCCCCAGCCAGTGAGGGCTCCAGCAGCAGCTGGGGTTACAAGAGGCTGGCCTGCGGTGCATGCTTTTCTAAGGAGGGCAGCTGGCAGTCACGGGGCCTTGGAATCAGGAGACAAACTTGGGATGCTGGCCTTGCACTTTACAAGATAGCATTATCCAGCTGTCTGTGGTTGGTCCATTGCTAAATTGCCCGGTTTTCTAACTCAAAGTCTTTTTGTCAAGTACAGTCACGGAGGACTTAGTTTGGGCAAAACTTTTAGAGTGTGTGTGACTTCTCGAAAGGGATCCAATAGGCCAAACTGCATTATAAGTTGTGATATTGACACAGACAGATACCGCTGAAGACATGATACCGCTGGTCATGTAGAGCATGAATGTGCTGAGAAGTACAAAGCGCATTCTTAGGTCTCCGTAGACGGCAATAACTGCGTGGATGCAAGAGGCAGGGATGCAGAAAGAAGGACCGAAGACTGCTGCGGAGTTTGGAGCTGAAGGTGGAAGAATTCACACAGTCTCAGAGGGACTTCTGCTTTGTTCTCTCCTCTCTGCCCTCCAAGCCATTTGTACTTCTCTTGTCCCTCTCAGGAGCTTCGCCCCCACACAGCTTTTCAGAGCTTCCCAGAACCTGTTAGGACGCCCGGCTCTGGCTCCTTTCTGAACACGACCTAGGGGGCTCAGATTTCTCTTTGAAATTCTACCAAGTGGCATTATTTTATAGGAAGAAAACCTCGAGGTGGTGTGTGTGTGTGTGTGTGTGTGTGTGTGTGTACGCATATGCATGCGTGCATGCTGGGATTACATGCCCTCCCCTTTAGCAGGTTCTGAGGATCAAATTCAGGTCTTCATGCTTGCAAGATTATCTCCCTCCTAAGCCATCTTCACTAAACCAATATCTCCTAGCCCGACTGCATTCCTGAAGTACATTCCCGGAATGCTGAACGGCAGCAATGACCTGACCTTGGCTGTGTGTGAGAGGAAATGTTTCTCCAACTTTTGGATCTGTGTCTGTGACAATTCCAGTCGCTGGTTGGCTTTTCTTGGGGGACGGGGGTACACTTTTCTGCTCAGGTACGCAAATGCGTGGTCCTGTTTTTGTCATTTCGGTAAAGAAGCTGCCTGGTCCATTGAGACTGAGACCTTGAGCAAGTCCTAAACTCTTTGACGCTCTCCTCACCGGAAACCATCCAAACCATAAACGACACTGGCCTGCTGTGGTGGAACAGAATAAGGCAGAATCTGTGAAAAAAGAAAAGATAGAATCTGTGAAATCTTTCAGTGAGAGCCTGGCTTATTAAGGCTTAAACCAGGTTTCTCCTCCAGCCCTAAGGTCATTTCCAGTTATAACTCAACCGGTTAGTCAGCAGGGTTGGATAGATCGCCATTCCACACCTGCCATGTGCAGAATGCTTGGGTAGGCCTCTGTCAAGCCTCAGGGATAAATGCAACGTAGTCCTGCCTGAGAAAATGGTCCCCGTGTGCATGGAAGGAAGACATACTCCAGCCTTTGGGGAAGCTGAGCCAGAGGAG